GAGCATTTTGAGTTCTGGGGACTGAGTAACTGGGGGCATTGTGAGTACTGGGGACTGAGTAACTGGGGGCATTGTGAGTACTGGGGACTGAGTAACTGGGAGCATTGTGAGTACTGGGGACTGAGTAACTGGGGGCATTGTGAGTACTGGGGACTGAGTAACTGGGGGCATTGTGAGTACTGGGGACTGAGTAACTGGGAGCATTGTGAGTACTGGGGACTGAGTAACTGGGATCATTGTATGTACTAAGGGGCTTTAAGTAACTAGGAGCATTGTGAGTATTAAGGACGGAATAACTGACATTGTGAGCACTGAGGACTGAGTTACTGGGAGCATTGTGATTGCTGGGGACTGAGTATCTGGGGGCATTGTCAGTACTGGGGACTGAGTAACGGGGAGCATTGTATGTACTAAGGGGCTGTGAGTAACTGGGAGCATTGTGAGTATTGGGGACTGATCTAACTGGGGGTATTGTGAGTACTGGGGACTGAGTAACTGGGATCATTGTATGTACTAAGGGGCTGTAAGTAACTGGGAGCATTGTGAGTATTAAGGACTGAGTAACTGGAATTGTGAACACTGAGGACTGAGTTACTGGGAGCATTGTGAGTACTAAGGTGCTGTGAGTAACTGGGAGCATTGTGAGTTCTGAGGACTTAGTTACTGGGAGCTTTGTGAGTTCTGAGAGGCTGTGCCAGGGATCTCGTTCAGCAGATGCTGATTTCCGTGCATCGAGTGCTCATCCTTTTGCACATGTGAAGAAGCTGTGTTCCTGGTTCTTGAAGGTGTGTGAACCTTGTTCCTGACCCGGCTTCATCCGACACCTCTCTTGGATCACTCCTACCTGTTATGCTGCTGCTCACTTGTGTTCCCGACCTCGACTTGGATTCCTGACTATGTCTCTGCTCCTAACTTGGTACCTCACTGCCAACACGTTACCGACTTCTGTCTCTTTCTGACCTTGAACTTGATCCTGACCATACACCTGTCTGTCTGGCTGCTGCTGAACAAGGGAAGGGATAACTGGAAGTAAACAAAGGTCAGAGGGTGCTAATGGGGGCATTAGTGGTATGGTTACTAGAATACCTAAACCCAAGGTGAGTAGGTTGGCAGAACCCAATTGCAGACTCAGAACAACTAAGGAGGAAATAAAACATACCCATACAAAACTAAGAGGAATTTGCACAACTGCTAGAAGCCTAGCTAATAAAATGGGAGAAATGGAGCTGCTGATATACAAGGAGGATTTCGACTTTGTGGGAATACCAGAAGCTTGGTTTTGATGGCTCACATGACTGGCTGGAAACTGTTCAGGGATATTCCTTGTATCAGAGGGACAGGGAAGTAGAAGAGGGGGAAGGGGTGCCCCTGTATATCAAGAATGGGTTGCTAGTGAACATGAGGGACAACATTGTTGATGGGGCAAATGAAGAGTTGGAATCCTTGTAGTTGGAGCTCCAAAGGGAAGAAACAAATGGAAAAGTAATAGTGCTATAAACTACAGGCCCCCTAGCTTGAAGCATGAGGAGGAGTGTGATCTGCTATCACAGTCAGGAATGGTGGTGAGGCAGAGCAATGTTCTCATAATGGGGGGGGCTTCAATTATTCAGATATTGACCAGGCAGAAGGAACTGCTCACTCATTTAAGGCTGGTCATTTAGCAGGACCATTTCATGTGTCAGTTGGTGGAAGCCCTGACTAGAAATAATGCTCTGCTAGATCTACTGATTACAAATAACACAGACCTGATCGCAGATGTGGAAATATGAGACAACTTAGGGAACAGCGATCACAAGGTAACTGCATACAGTATAAATCACAGAAAAAAAGAAGCATGAGGGTGGTACAAAAAACACCAAATTTCAAAAGAGGGATATGGGAATTATTATTGGCATAAACACATACAGTACATATCCACACAGTGTCTTTATTCAACCTTACCAACTATGTAACTACATTGGTGGCCAGCAGAGTTCTCCCCTACATTTGTGATTAGCATAGTGCCCTCTTAAATTGGTGGTCAATGTAGTACCCCCCCACTACATTGATAGTCAGTGCAGCACTTACATTGGTGGTCGGTGTAGTGTTCCTTTACACTGGTGGCCAGTGCACTGCTCCCTTACATAGATGTTCAGTGTAGTGACCCCTTACATTAGTGGCCAGTGTAATGTTCCCTTACATTGGTAGTCAGTGGGAGAAGGACGCCATTACATTGGTGGTCAGAAGAAAAGAGTCCCTTACATTGGTAGTCAGTGCAGCACTTACATTGGTGGCCAGTGTAATGTTCCCTTACATTGGTAGTCAGTGGGAAGGAAGCCATTACATTGATGGTCAGAAGAAAAGAGTCCCTTACATTGATGGTCAGTGGGCAGAATACTCCCCTTTACAGATTGCTGAAAAGATCATTGGAGTTAGTGGCAATTTATCTGAGAGGCCGAATTTGCTCAAGGAACCCCAAGCAACCTCTAGAGGAACCCTGCAATTGTACAGAACCTGGGTGGAGGGATGGCTGATGTAGGAAGCCCACAGAGGTCCTTAAGAGGATTTCAGCCATACAGAACCTCCCTAAGGCACAAATCATAAGCAAACAGTGATTGTTCGTATGGATGAAGATAAGTCGACCTCAGACCTCAGTGGGATCTTGTTACGGCTTCCACTCCCAACTCCATATTGCTCCCAGCAAGTGTGCATGTTTATGTGACCGTCAGACTGCAGGCGGTCATATTATTCCTCACAAAAATGTGGAGTAAGCCTAGAGGCTCATTCACACCAGGGGGCTCCATTGTGGTGCGTTTACCCCCGGGAGTGAACGTCACGCTCTGACTCCATGTACTCTGTATGTGACATGAACTTCATATGGTTTATGGGACACATTCCCTGTTTGGTTTTAGAAGAACTCCATACCTGTAATGCTGTAGAGACTGGAATTGCACCGGCAGGTAGTATCAATGCTGCAATACTCATCAACGGCACAGGTATCACTTCCACAGGATTGAGACACAACCACTGGAGAGACAGAAAAAGACATTAAAGTACATCTAAAGACTCCTGTGTAGCCATCTGAACAGTTCTCAGATCCACTTACTATAGGATACATCTCAATATAAAGGAAACTTCCTTAACCTCCCTTGACTGAGCCAAATCTCCCTTCATTTGTGTCTCACGCGCTCCCCCTCCCAGGCACTGCAGCTCACAGCGTTAGGATTTCAGCAACAGAGGCAGCGCTGCCAATCCAGGAGGCTGGGTGTGGCCAGGTGCTGATTGACAAGCTACTGGCTAATGAAACAGCAAAGACAATACTGATAGCCACACCCCCTGCAACACCTTCTCCCAGGCAGACACAACCTACGTGAGAGTGACAACTCTGCCCTGAACTCAGCAGCAGCGCGGCATCATTGTCACCCCATCACAGGAAGCTGCAGTAGGTGGACTTCACTGGCAGGATCAACAAGGATTTGTGGGACTTTGAACTAAGAGAACACTGGAAGTTCACACGCATTTACAATCAGGTGCTGCAGCACTTTTTATTTTTTAATTGGAGGTCAGAGTTTTATATTAAACTCTTTATCTGAGATATACTCCAAGTTGTAATGTATATGAATCCTAATCATCGTCTTCACATATTTGCTCTCTTTTGGTTTGTTAAATATTTTAACCACTTCCAGTCTGGACACTTTCACCCCCCTTCCAGTCTGGACACTTTCACCCCCTTCCAGTCCGGACGCTTTCCCCCCCTTCCAGTCCGGACACTTTCACCCCCCTTCCAGTCTGGACACTTTCACCCCATTCCAGTCCGGACACTTTCACCCCCTTCCAGTCCGGACGCTTTCACCCCCTTCCAGTCCAGACACTTTCCCCCCCTTCCAGTCCGGACGCTTTCACCCCCTTCCAGTCCGGACGCTTTCACCCCCTTCCAGTCCGGACACTTTCACCCCCTTCCAGTTTGGACACTTTCACCCCCTTCCAGTCCGGACGCTTTCACCCCCTTCCAGTCCGGACACTTTCACCCCCTTCCAGTCCGGACACTTTCACCCCCTTCCAGTCCAGACATTTTCCCCCCCTTCCAGTCCGGACACTTTCACCCCCTTCCAGTCCGGACACTTTCCCCCTCTTCCAGTCTGGACACTTTCCCCCCCTTCCAGTCCGGACACTTTCCCCCCCTTCCAGTCCGGACACTTTCACCCCCCTTCCAGTCCGAACACTTTCCCCCCCTTCCAGTCCGGACACTCCGGACACTTCCCCCCCTTCCAGTCCGGACACTTTCCCCCCCTTCCAGTCCAGGCACTTTCCCCCCCTTCCAGTCCGGACACTTTCCCCCCCTTCCAGTCCGGACGCTTTCACCCCCTTCCAGTCCGGACACTTTCACCCCCTTCCAGTCCGGACACTTTCCCCCCCTTGCAGTCCAGACACTTTCACCCCCTTCCAGTCCCGACACTTTCCCCCCCTTCCAGTCCGGACACTTCCCCCCCCCCCCCTTCCTGCCCAGGCCAATTTTCAGCTTTCAGCACTATCACGCTTTGAATGACAATTGCGCGGTCATGCAACACTGCACCCATATGAATTTTTTAGCATTTTTTGAGACAGATAAAACTTTATTTTGGTGGTATTTATTCACCGCTGGGATTATTTTTTTTTTTTTTTGCTACATAAATGAAAAAGTCCAAGAATTTTGAAAAAAAGTGTTTTTCTTATAAAATGTTGCAAATAAATATTATTTCTTCATAATTCTTGGCCAAAATTTATTTGGTTATCTTTTTAGTAAAAAAATAACCCAAATTAGTTTATAACCAAACATTTTAATTTTTCTAAATTTTTCTTTTACATTTTTCTTTTATTTTTTTATATTATTATTTATGTTTTTTTGTGTTTTTTTTTACATACTGTCACCCTAGCAGTACAGTGTCACCATGGTAACACTGTACTACTTGTGGAGGGTGATGAAGCTGTAAAAGCAATCATTTCTTCTTCTCTCTGGCTGCATTCCTGCAGCCATTGAGAAATACTATGAGAGCTGTGATTGGTCACAGCTTGTCACATGGTACAAGGCTGTTGTGAATAGCCTTGTACCATGTGATCTCTGTGATCAATCACAGATTTCACACGTAGTAAGCAATGATGTCAGAAGTGATATCTTGCTTACTATTCTTCATGTGATCACTGATTGGCCAATCAGTGATCACATGATTGGGACCTCAAACACATGGTGACACTGTACTACTTGTGGGGGGTGATGAAGATTGTTTGTTTGTTTTTTTATGTTTTTTTTTTACACTGATTGCTTTTAATCCCATAAAGGCTGTAAAAGCAATAATTTCTCCTTCTCTCTGGCTGCATTCTTGCAGCCATTGAGAACTACTGTGTGAGCTGTGATTGGTCACAGCTTGTCACTTGGTACAAGGCTGTTGTGAATAGCCCTGTACCATGTGATCTCTGTGATCAATCACAGATTTCACACGTAGTAAGCAATGATGTCAGAAGTGACATCTTGCTTACTACTCTGCATGTGATTACTGATTGAACAATCAGTGATCACATGACCGAACCTCACACAGAGGTCCCCTACAATGATCTGTGTTCCACTCTGTCCAGAGGACACAGGGAACGCGCACAAGCAGGGGGCAGGGAGGACATTTATAAATGGCCACCCTCCCCTGCACTGCTCCCGTCTGGACGTTTATGTACATGGGCCAGATGGGAAGTGGTTAAACATCTGGTTTCATCTGTTCCATAAGTGTAAAACTCCCTGTTGATCCTGCCAGAAATCGTGTGAGCCAATAACTTCCTGAGCTCTCTGTCTCTGTGGCTGTTTTTAGTTACAAAGAAACATTTTTCTTTTCAGGGTTTGGATACATTGTTATGCAGGCCATACATGGGTCAAATTACAAACGAATTCTCTTTCAAAAATCTGTAATTTTGTGCATTTTTAAACCCGATGGCGCCACCATTGATTTTGAAATTCGATCAACCAAGCAGTTAATTTCATCTCCTGTTGCTACAGAAAAGAAATTTTGTGGCCAAGAATTTTCTTTTCTTTCCTGGTCACAGCTGATTTCTTTTTCAATTACATTTCTCGCATGATTCTCCCATCATTGATTAGAAATTTGTTCATTTTATAAAAAGATTTCCAACATTTTCTGATCACTCAAATTTGATGAACGCTCGAAAATCGGCTGTTGATGTGATCCACTAATGGTGAGAAATTCAAACGAAAATTCTTAGGAAAGATTTTCTCAAAAGAAAATTTTTTCGGAATTCAACCCGTGTATGGCCGGCTTTAGGCTGGGCTCACACTGCCGCGACTTGAGATCCGAAACCCCCCAAGTCGCAATGACATGTGAAATCCCAAGTTAGTCAATGAGAGCTGTCTTAATACGCTCTACTGAAGTCTCTCCGACTTTAGAAAAGGTCCCTGTGCTACTTCAAGGCAACTTCTATCCGACTTGTGCCCATAGATTTTAATGGAAGTCGCCTCCAAGTCGGATCCTCATTTATATTGATGTGATTTGGATCCAGATTACAGTAAGATTACCCAGCATTCCCTGAAAGTTGATTCAGAGATGCTTCAAAGTAGTACTCAGGTCGCCTGGCAAACTTGCACTGTATGTTGCGTGACTTTCAGGTCGCAGTAGTGTGAATCAAGACTTAATGTGTTACTAAACCCCGGACCCTGCATTCACTATATCCGCTCTCCCCGGACCCTGCATTCACTATATCCGCTCTCCCCGGACCCTGCATTCACTATATCCGCTCTCCCCGGACCCTGCATTCACTATATCCGCTCTCCCCGGACCCTGCATTCACTATATCCGCTCTCCCCGGACCCTGCATGCACTATATCCAGTCTCCCCGGACCCCGCATCCACTATATCCGCTCTCCCCGGACCCCTCATTCACTATATCCGCTCTCCCCGGACCCCGCATTCACTATATCCGCTCTCCCCGGACCCCTCATTCACTATATCTGCTCTCCCCGAACCCCGCATTCACTATATCCAGTCTTCCCGAACCCCGCATTCACTATATCCAGTCTCCCCGAACCCCGCATTCACTATATCCGCTCTTCCCGGACCCCGCATTCACTATATCCGCTCTCCCCGGACCCCGCATTCACTATATCCGCTCTCCCCGGACCCCGCATTCACTATATCCGCTCTCCCCGGACCCCGCATTCACTATATCCGCTCTCCCCGGACCCCGCATTCACTATATCCGCTCTCCCCGGACCCCGCATTCACTATATCCGCATTCTCCGCTCTCCCCGGACGGACCCGCATTCACTATATCCGCTCTCCCCGGACCCCGCATTCACTATATCCGCTATACCCCGCATTCACTATATCCGCTCTCCCCGGACCCCGCATTCACTATATCACTATATCCGCTCTCCCCGGACCCCGCATTCACTATATATCCGCTCTCCCCGGACCCCGCATTCACTATATCCGCTCTCCCCGGACCCCGCATTCACTATATCCTCTCTCCCCGGACCCGCATTCACTATATCCGCTCTCCCCGGACCCCGCATTCACTATATCCGCTCTCTCCATGGACCCCGCATTCACTATATATCCGCTCTCCCGACCCCGCATTCACTATATCCGCTCTCCCCGGACCCCGCATTCACTATATCCGCTCTCCCCGGACCCCGCATTCACTATATCCGCTCTCCCCGGACCCCGCATTCACTATATCCGCTCTCCCCGGACCCCGCATTCACTATATCCGCTCTCCCCGGACCCCACATTCACTATATCCGCTCTCCCCGGACCCCCGCATTCACTATATCCGCTCTCCCCGGACCCCGCATTCACTATATCCGCTCTCCCAGGACCCCGCATTCACTATATCCGCTCTCCCCAGCCCCGCATTCACTATATCCGCTCTCCCCGGACCCCGCATTCACTATATCCGCTCTCCCCGGACCCCGCATTCACTATATCCGCTCTCCCCGGACCCCGCATTCACTATATCCGCTCTCCCGGACCCCGCATTCACTATATCCGCTCTCCCCGGACCCCGCATTCACTATATCCTCTCTCCCCGGACCCTGCATTTACTATATCCGCTCTCCCCGGACCCCGCATTCACTATATCGCTCTCTCCCCGACCCCGCATTCACTATATCCGCTCTCCTGGACCCCGCATTCACTATATCCGCTCTCCCCGGACCCCGCATTCACTATATCCGCTCTCCCCGGACCCCGCATTCACTGTAACCACTCTCCCCGGACCCCATTCACTATATCCGCTATATCCGCTCTCCCCGGACCCCGCATTCACTATATCCTCTCTCCCCCAGACCCTGCATGCACTATATCTGCTCTCCCCGGACCCTGCATTCACTATATCCGCTCTCCCCGGACCCCGCATTCACTATATCCGCTCTCCCCGAACCCCGCATTCACTATATCCGCTCTCCCCGGACCCTGCATTCACTATATCCGCTCTCCCCGGACCCTGCATTCACTATATCCGCTCTCCCCGGACCCCGCATTCAGTATATCCTCTCTCCCCAGACCCTGCATTCACTATATCCGCTCTCCCCGGACCCCGCATTCACTATATCTGCTCTCCCCGGACCCCGCATTCACTATATCCGCTCTCCCCGGACCCCGCATTCACTATATCCGCTCTCCCCGTACCCCGCATTCACTATATCCGCTCTCCCCGGACCCCAAATTCACTATATCCGCTCTCCCCAGACCCCGCATTCCCTATATCCGCTCTCCCCGGACCCCGCATTCACTATATCCGCTCTCCCCGTACCCCGCATTCACTATATCCGCTCTCCCCGGACCCCAAATTCACTATATCCACTCTCCACGGACCCCAAATTCACTATATTTTTTAAAAAATGTTCCAGAATCAGTAATGTTGCTGAAAGAAAAAAATGTCCGTTTGCTGCTGGTGTCATTGGAAGGAAAGAATGATTTTGCATCAGAGGTGTCACTGGAAGGAAAACAATGTCCTTGAGTCGGTGGTGTCACTGGAGAAAACACCACTACAAAGCTCCTCTCCCACCCCAGTACAGAGCAATTTGCTCAAGTCTGACCTCCTCTTGTTCACTATAATGCCCCTCCCCCTTTTAGAACAGAGCTCCCCTTCCTTCCACATCCCCAAGTACAGAGCTAATGCATTCCCCACTCTCCCCCCAGTACAAAGAGCTCCCACCCAACTACTTAGTACACAGCTCTGTTACCCACCCCCAGATATTTACTCAGTCCTGTAGGTTGCTCCCTGCAATACAGAATCTGTTGCTGGAAACAGCTTATATGTTTACAACAAGAAAAAAAATCCCTGCTGACAGAAGTGACACTGGAGCCACTCCTGTCAGTGAGAGGCAGGGAACAAGAGGCTGCTAGAGGTCCCAACATGCCCCTCATTCTGCACATGGAGCTGGCGCTCCTTCTCCCAGCCATGATACACATAGATAGATAGATACACAGCTCCTTCATTTAGTGAATTTCATCACTGGAAGGGTGTTAATGGTAGGATCACCAGATGAAAAATAGAGAAAAAAAAAAACAAAAAAAGAAAACTAATGCAGCCACCTCCAAGGACTGGTAAGCTGCAATATACAGTATTACATTCTTTTTTCTCGTGCTTAGACATACATTCATTAGAGAACAGATCTCCCTCGCTCTCTGTCTGTTCATTCGCCCTTCCCTGTTCGTACCCTCCAATTTCCGGGAACTATCACTGTCTCTGTATTCCAGATGTGTTATTATAGGATAATAGGAGAGAAACGTCACTCACCCCCCGCCATGGCAGCGCATAATACAGAGAGCAGCAGTGTCATCTTCATGGTTATCAGGAACCCTGGAAAATACATCCAGTATGAGCAACCAAATTCTGTTTGTGATTTGGCAAAATAAAAAAATTAAAAAAAAAAACATTTCTACATGATTTTTAAATGTTATATATATTCAATGTATACTATAAAGCCAAAATAAAAGAAAGAAAAGAAAAACAAACTTCTATATACGTTCCAATACTTATTATTTCTTTTCTACTATGTAACATACACAGACCTAAGAATATCTGTGAAGAAAACTCAACTAGATAGATAGACAGACAGACAGACAGACGGATAGATGGATGGACAGACAGACGGATAGACGGACGGACGGACGGACGGACGGACGGACGGACGGACGGACAGACAGACAGACAGACAGATAGATAGATAGATAGATAGATAATAGATAGATAATAGATAGATAGATAGATAGATAGATAGATAGATAATAGATAGATAGATAATAGATAGATAGATAGATAGATAGATAGATATAGATAGATAGATAGATAGATAGATAGATAGATAGATAATAGATAGATAGATAGATAGATAGATAGATAGATAGATGATAGACAGATAGATAATAGATGGATAGATAGATAGATAGATAGATAGATAGATAGATAGATAGATAGATAGATAATAGATGGATAGATAATAGATAGATAGATAGATAGATAGATAGATAGATAATAGATAGATAGATAGATAGATAGATAGATAGATAGATAGATAGATAGATAGATAGATAGATAGATAGATGATAGATAGATAGATAGATAGATAGATAGATAGATAGATAGATAGATAGATAATAGATAGATAGAGAGATAGATAGATAGATGATAGATAGATAGATAGATAGATAGATAGATAGATAATAGATAGAGAGATAGATAGATAG